AAATCAAGGATAAAGATGCTCATATTGCGCTTCGTAATGCATTGATAGATCATTTATGGGAGGAATACACTAATTCAGATAGTTAAGTGCATACTAAATTTGTAATTTTTACATTGTTGTTAATGTTTAATTATTTCCTTGTATTTTATTTCCTGTTGTGTTCTTGAATGTAATATTTTGGCAATATCAATAATAAAAATATAATATTTTAGCAATCAAGTTATTTTAATTAATAAAATAATATTTTATTGTTTTATTAGTTTAATTTTTAAATAATAAATCATTTTGTTTGAAAAATATGTGAAAAAAATAAAATTTGATATGTGGGGTTAATTGTTGAAATAGTTAAAAATATAGGAAATAAAAAATAATAATATAAAAGTAGATAAAAATAATATACTTAGAATATTCTTTTTTGGTATAAAAAATGAAGCAATTGGTTAGAGATGAATTACTGTTAGATGTGACTTTTGCATCATTTTAGTGCGATGGGTTGGAGATGCCCTTAGCGTATCACAAAACCGTGTCCTAAAAGAAATTTAATCATATTGATTAATTGGATTTGTCTACTTAGTACTGACCTTTGCCCGGCTAGAATTAAATACATCGACTTAAACATTTCATTGAGAGGACCACATTTGAGATTATCCCAAACTCTGTCGAGCATCAATAGGCAACGTGGATTTCCTAATGGCTGATAATGCGCCATCTTCACAGCCTTATTTAGTCTAAATTTGTACCCCTTGCATTCAATTTATAGCACAATGCTGATTGAGTGTGTTATTTTCTTATCAATGATGACAGTAAAGAAAGAGCTTTCTTTCTTCTTTTCTCATTAATGGATGGTCGAGACTTGAGAGAATAGCGCAGGACGATATGTCACGGTCACAATATGAACATGAGGAAAGCTCGTCAACCTCTCCCTTCAGAGGAAATTATAAAGGATGAGGTTACTAATTTGAAGTGCTGATCTATAGGAAAAATATAACTCGTATATATGCTTAAGGACTTGTTATAAATTGGATTATTACCGGCTTTTTTTTTATTTTCCTCCTCCAAGACTTCACATCTGTCAATGATTTTGGCGTCATTTTGCTTGATTTAAGCTTAACTGCGATCCTTCAGTAGAAAAATGGACAAATTTTCAAAACAGACTTCTTTGCCAAAAAAATCCCAAAAACCGACTTGTTTCAAACTTATTTTCAAAAACCGACCCAGTTGGGCTGAAACTAGTCGAATTTTGAAAAAAAAAAGTTCTCAAACTTCACGGGATCGTTGAAGCCCCGTGAAGTTTTGTTACATAAAAAACTTCACGGTACTTCAACTCCCGTGAAATTTGGGAATTTTTTTTCAAAAACCGACCCAGTTTCTGCCAACTGGGTCGGTTTTTGAAATTAAGTTTGAAACGGGTCTTTTTTTTTAGATTAAGATTCAAAACAGGTCGGTTTTGAAAATTTGTCCGTGAAAAAATAATCCTCGGAGTAAATCTATATATAAAGCTCAATTTTACTTGGAAAATAAGTCCAACTGAAATGATGAAGGTCAGCTAGCACATCCTATCAAGTGACTAAATCTTGCCTTTCGTATTGATTGCTTTACCATGAAAAAATAACCATCAATTAGATCCCATGCAAGACCAACTCCTTTTTACTATTTCCTCCCTTAGGTTGTGGTCCAAGCATTCATTAAAATCTTGCACAAAAACTTAAATGTGGGAGCCATAATTTAACATGTGGTATCTCCCAGCTCGTTTTAATTTTTTTATGTCAAATATTTCTAAAAAGGTGCAAACCAAACTTATTGTAAGATCAAGTTGCCTGGGGCAATCAAGGACTTCCATCGGAAGCCATAGATTAATCAATATTTTTTTGAAACTTAAAAAAAAATATTGGGTGTGTCTTGACAACTCAAGTCATAATAAGTTGTCAAGTTCACTGTTGCCTCTCACCACTAGTCTATATCTAATCAACTCGTTCCCTGTTATGATTATGACTCATACACATTTTGTGGGCTGATTTTAGAAAACCATGTTGACGCAGCGCGGAAGTGATAACTTCAGAATTCACCAAGGGTGTTCTCTGAATCCACAAAAAACGATCTCCGAATCCACGAAGAACTTCGAATCCATGAAGAAAATATTAAACGATAAATTTTATTGATGAAAGTTATAATTCTTTGGGGTTACATGACTCTTCTTAAATAGAAAAACAAATAAAACTCCTAGTAAGACTAGAATTACAAAAAAAAATAGAAAGTATCAAATTCTATCCTAAAACAAATCCCTATAATAAAGGAAACAAATCATGAATCAAAATTGAATTTTTTTTTCCTAATCTAATTTGACTCTAAAATTGAATTTATTTCCTAATCTAAATAGACTCCAACTTTATTACTAAAAATAAACGTAAGGCTGGTTATTTTCAGATTTCAGTCAAAACTGGGTGTAACTGATGAGATTTTAAAAATCTGACAATCTAATTGGCTCCGTCCTGTCGAGATAGGCGATTTACATATATAATATGTTAGAATCCGCCTTCTGGATTGGAAAATATGATCATTTCTTTGCGGATGTCAATAATACGTATAAATCTGTATTTAGCTCGTGATTGTCTGCATCCTTCATGAAATTGTTAGTTAAGCGTCCTACATCACCTGTCACCTGTGTTGTAGATAGCCCCCTCAACTTTCGAAATATTATTTAACCCCCTTCAACTTTTCTACGTAACCCCCTAAATTGATATTATTTAAATCTACAGGAACAAATGATTTAAAATGATCATATTATCTCTAAGACATTAAATCTTTTAACCATAGCGTTCATTTTTTGAATTTTTTGGTTAAAAATAACTTTCATCCAACTTCATTGCTATGTTTATGTGCAAATCTAATATTCTTTCTTTCTTTTTCGAAACACTAAACTTCTTTTATTTTCTGCTTATCCATGCTTGTAATGTTTGAAACAATTGATTTTTTTTTTTGAAAATTAGCTTCCTCATCAAAATCCATCGAATTGAAGTATAATATTTTGATTGAGTCGAGTTTTTAAACTCGGATGCATGAGTTTTTTAACCAAGGGTATTTTAGTCATTGCATATTTCAAATTAATAGTACTAGGGGGGTTATTTGAAAAAAACTAGAAAGATAAACGGGGTTTTGTGAGAGACACATAGTTACGGAGGGTTTAATCATATTTTGAAAGTTGAGGGGTGTTATCTACAACGCCCTCAAAGTTAAGGGGGTCTTCTAAAGATAAAATAGCTGAGAGGGGGATTTCTGAGACAAGCATCATAGTTGAGGGGTGTTTTTAAAAAAATTAACCCCTTTTACCCTTTTCGATCTGTTAGTGTGCATATGAGTGAATCAATCCTTACATCTATTTTTGTATGTGTATATGAGAGAGACAAATAGGTCATCTTTGGATATTAGGTTGATAACTTGCCACGTGATGGCAAGCTAGTGGAATCACCAATGACTGATCAATGCGATCATAATCTGGGCTGTCTTTAATGTGAAGTAGGTAGGTCCTTGACTACATACCCCTCGCATACAACAACAGTGTTTTGTACCCTTCACAGAAATTAAATTTCCAGGCATTTAAAAATTCCCCATTTTCCCTCTTTAGTTTACATGTTACTGCTACTTGTTTATGTAGATTTCATGACCGAGTATTGTTCTTCAAGCGCGTGCATTGATGTTTGAACTTGAGCAAACGTCTAGAAATAAGAAAATCAAATGTTTGCATCATTAAAAGGAAGGAAACGGATTTGAAGTTCATAATAAGTTTGGAAAGTTAAAAGGAAGGAAATAGCTACCGGAAAAGTAGTTTTCAGGTAAAGTACAAAAAACGATCATTTTTATCATGAAAAAAATGATGGTCAATATCATTATGCAATAGGAGGTGGACACCTCACATGTCCTCCCTGTTGGTCTCATATTTTTGGTCTCTGTAGCAAAGCACTTCTATCATTAACCTAGAATCTCTGCTTGTGGATGTTTCTATGGATGTCTTGCAACCAAATTAGACTACAAAACTAGCAGTTTCATTAATTAACGTAGCTTAGTTTTTTTTTAATGTTTTTAGATGAAGGTCCCTCGAAAAACAATGCGTAATGAATAGTTTTCTCGCAGTTTTTACCACTTCTTCCTCTTATTTCTAAGAACCGGCATACTTTCTCAAGCCTAGAGAGATTATAGGCTTGGTGATTAATTATTTTCTTGAAGAAATTGGTTTTATTTATTAATTCTATTCTCCCTCTCAGGCTACTATTCCTCCAGTATCAGCCAGTACCACATCAAAATCTCTCACATATGACACCCACGCACAAAACTTCACCGTGAAACATGACTGCAAACTGAAAGCTCAATTAATGTCCACCCATGTGTTCTTCAGTCTTCAATTGCATGGCAACCAACTTTGAGTCCATCACAAAAGCTGTAAATTGGTGGTTTTGCACTTCATTATGCTGGCCCTCAAAGGGTAACCCAGATCCAATGCGGCATTAACTGCTCTCATTTATCGCGTGGGTCATCGGGATCTTTGGTCAGGAGCCCAGAGTTTGCTCTACTCCTCCTCTACATGTGAAGAGGAAATGGCCATGCAAACTACCCACCATCCTCTTCCCATCTCACTTTGAATTCTCAAACTGCTGAGTTTGGAGAAAATGGTCACCAAACAGCTAGCACCCCATGTGGGATTTTTATTAGGGGTTAATTGCGCATTGAAACCCCGCAGCACCGCTAGTTCGAACCTATTACCCCTCTGGTTTTGTTGCTGAAGGGACTCCCGGGTGAACCTTTTCGATTCTTTTACCTTCGAGGGGTCTATTTATCAAACAAAAAGAAAATTTTTGTTCGTTCGAGGGTAAAAGAGTGAAATAATTCCCCTCGGGGGTCGACCTGCAGCAAGAAAAACAGAGGGGGCAGTAACTTCGAAACGGCGATACTACAGGGTCTATCCACAATTAACCGTTTCATAAATTTCGCTACATTTGACAAGAGACTTCAGAAAGTTTTTAGTAGCTACTAGACAGTAATACAGTAAAACGGCGACGAAGGTAAGCGTTACGCATTGACAGAAATAACCTGTGCTAGCTAAAACACACCATCAGATATCTCCATTAGACCCTCTACTTGTTCTGTCGACTCATCTAGAAGCCATTCCTCCAGTAAGGACATTGGCTCTTGGTGATCCTCTGATCTCTGTTTCGCTTCGAACGAGAGCAGCGACTCAAGCTCTTCTTTGTTGTTGCAATTGTTGACACTGTTATCGAACACGAGGCTTTGTTGTTTTTGTTGTTGATATTCTTTCTTTACGGTAGTTGTTTTTGTCCACTTTTCTAGGAGTCTTGATATGTTTTCGGTGCTCGAGGCATAGACCGATGAGTTGTGAGTGAACCTTGAGAGTGTAGACTGCATGTTGGTTGTCTCTGGAATTCCTGGTTCAGTTGTATGGTCTCTGTAAATTTCTGTCTCATACTTTTTGAGCTTCTTCTTGAGGTGGGTGTTCCAGTAGTTCTTGATATCATTATCTGTTCTCTGCGGAAGGTAGGATGCTATGGCTGCCCACCTGCAAAGAAAAAAAATCTGTTAAAT